GAAAGATTGCATGTCTTTGTGACAAGGCAAGGGTGAGGATGATGGTTGCATGGGAGCACAGGTGTGCAGTGCAGATATTGTGTTGGGAAAGTGTATGATATAATGCCAGTGATGTGAGTTGGGCTGTCAGGTGAGCCATAGTGGCCACAGGACAGTTTTGGTAGAAATAATGCAATATATTTGCAAATAAAAAAAAAGCACTGTGGGAGTGTCTACGTGTGCATTTACACCGGCTTAAATTTACTGTGCAGTAAGTGGGCGGCTTACACGGCTTAAATTTACTGTGCATGATGCAGGTATCAAATTTACATTCAGGCTGAGCAGGGACCACCTACAGGCAGCTGCGCTGATGTTGGTGGCAAGGGTGTGCCGAGTGGGCACTGCCCGGAGGCAGCCACACTGACATTGGTGGTGAAGGCGGCCGTGACGGTGTTGGTAGGAAGGGGTGGGAGTGGCGAGCAGCGACCGCCCACAGACACCAGTGGCATCATTGGCAGTGGCTAATCTCAGGGGGGGCACATGCCCCTACCCCCATACCCTCCCTATGCATCACCTATGTAAATACCGGTGCTAAAACTTGCAGCAATTTCAAAAAAGGTCAAATGCATCAATTGTGGAATGAACTAATTTACTACAGGTATGTTTATTTTAAAGAAAGCGTTTTCAAATTTGACTCACTTCCATGGGGTCAGGGAGAGAAGGGTCTGACAGCAAGGACGGAAGAAGGAGCTGGATTTATTTTCTGTGCTGTAACTGTGGGAAGGGGACAAATTCAAGGCAAATCTCCAATAATTAGATTCTATACCTGGAAAATTATAACAAATTTATACATTTTCCATATATAGAATCTAATTACTGGGGGGGGGGGGGGAGTTATCTTATATTCAGGTTCATCTTATATTTGAGTAAATACAGTATTTATCCTGAAAGAAACTGAGGTTTGCACTCCAAACTGCATAGTTTATCTGAGAGATAAAGCGGGACTCAGTCTTTAAGAAAAACAGCTTGAGGGGAGAAATCTTCAAAAGCACAGATAGGTAATTCTGATTTTCTTTACTTTTCAATATTCAGTTTCACTCTCTAGTACACTGATGATATTATACCCATTAGAGCCACATCCCAACCCCAATGGAGCCTGCGGAGAGAAGCCCATTGACATCAGGGGGGTTGGGGTGAGGACCCTCTGTGGTGGTATTGCCAGTGTGTTAGGAAGAGAACAGTTGCTTGTAACCTTTTGAAACATATTTGAGCTGTTATTATCTGCCTCAGTAGTATATACAATTGCTGCAAAGGCATTTGCATTAAGATAGGCACTGAAAAAGGTTCAACATTGACTTGATTTTTCAGTGCTTTGTTCTTTTTTGGTCTGACACCAGCAAACGAATCTTCCTCAAATGACATTGCACTGTGCAGTGGACTGAAACCCTCTTTTATCACAAGGCAAACTTGGGTCATTCACAGCTACTGTAGTTTTCTGGAATGTAATCTACAGGAAGATGAAAGATACTTTATTTCTAATGTGTGTCTAATTCTGTTTAGTTCCAACATGAATAATTAAATGTTCATGTGCATTTATAAATGCCTGCATTTTAATTAAAAAGCAACCCTCTTTGAAAATTTAGGCAGCAAAAATGGTATCATGCTTACCAAAAAGGGAATGAATTATTTATGTGATACACTTTACTCTTTAAATTACTTAGATATAATGTACCGTAGATGCACTCTGTATTGACAGAAATGCACCTTTGCTTTTTACTTAATCATCACAATTTTTTTTTCTAACAAGAACAAAAATATACAGTGCTGGCCCATCAAATATTTCTCTCTACTAGTTTGACATGCGGACACATTTCCTCCCATACTCTGGGACTATTATGTCACTACAAATGAGCTCTCACTTAACAGTGGCTATATTATTATTATTATTATTATTATTATCTGTTTTGTATTGCGGTATTGCATAGAAAGATGTCATAGGCTAAGATGCCTGTGCTGGACAAACACAACAAAAAGCCATTCTTTACCCCAAGAAATGTGTACTTTACAATCTAGGGGACAGAAAAAGCACTATTACAAATCCCAAGCATTCAAAAATCATCCAGCCACTGAATTGTGAGTTTGTTTTTAAAATCATGGGAATTTTAAAATACATTTTTAGTTCTTTTTATTTGCCATGAAAACTAGATACTTACTTTAAAAAAATGTAAGCTGTTTTATTTAACCACATGACTCCAAGATCTGGCATTCGAAGATAAGTACTCAGTATTGTAAAATTCATGATTCAGCCACGTGAGTTGGCTGTGCTGGAGAGGGCTGCATGTTTATAACATGTTTGGCAGGTCACGTCATTGGTATATGCTGGTAGTTTAAGGGTTGGCAAATAAAAATAGTAACTGACCAAATCACAGTCCTCTTCTAATGACAACGTTTTTTGAATCAGGTGGATTTATACCCAGTAAAACTTACTGAGGTATGCACCAGACTGGCAATGGCAGTAACTGTAACCAAAAGAGCTTGTATGGCATTTAACGGGTGTGTAAGCTTTGGGCAGACTCTCTGTAGAGGGCTGAAGTGAGCCATCTTGGTATACTGTATATACTATAGTATATACTATTGGTGAGACAGGATCCTCATCACAGAATTTTCCCAGGTGGATGTAAATTTTTCCCACATGGATTGCATGCTCATAAAAGTAGTATGCAATTTTTTTCTATGAAGTAACTGAAACCTTATTGATTAAGGTTTGCCTGTTACTGTTTGCAAAAGTCTGCTGTTGTTTTGAAACTAGCACTGGATTTCTACATTTTGTGCCTCAACTTTCTGTTCCTGCTAGAGTGGGCTTGCTAGATGACGGCAGAAGACTTGCCAAGCTTCTTGTCTTAGCTTTCTAGGCTTCTTCTTTTCTTGCCCTTGTTAACGGCAGAGTTGTCAGATCTTTCAAGTTTCTGCCACTTAGTTCTGGGAATACTACCATTAATAATGCACAGGAGCCTGAAAGATATTTATTGTCCTTTAAAGTCAGTCCTTCAAGAACGGTTTTGTGTTAATAGACTGAGCTGCCAGCCTAAACTTTTCACTTATTGACTGAAAGGAATTTGTAATGAAAATTGAATTGACATTGACTTGTGCCTTTTGCAATATAATGGAAGTCCTGTTGGTTCGAATTCACCCGCTTTACAATTTTAATAACTCTGATTCCTTTTGGGTGCTTTATTTTTAGGGGAATGCAGGCCCTGCGGTTTTCTGGCTTCTCCTATTTCTTCTAAACCATCCTGCAGCCATGGCAGCAGTTCAAGGTGAATTAGAAAAAGTACTTGGACACAGAAGACAAACAATGAAACAGATGCATGGCATTAGCCAAGAGATACTGGACAACACCCCTATTTTTGGTTAGTGCTCTTCTTTTGTGGATGTCGATGGACTACAGCATTTGACTTACAGCACTTACCATCACATAACTTTACATATCAGTTAAAAATCTTTGGTAGCGTAGTTTTTTTTCCTATCTAAGAGTTTTTTGAAGTCAATGATTGCACGTGCAAAATGTACCTGCAAGCACACCCTTAATTTGCCTGAGCAACAACTGTGCTTACTCACAAGCCCTCTCTACACATCAGCTGTCTGGGCTCCCATGCACAGCCGGGGCTGGGAGTTCTGTACCTGAGGGGACTCTCCGCCCTGGCAGCACCCAGCAGTTGCGAACTCCCTGTGCATTGTGTGCATCATGAGAAACTGTTGGCTTCCTAGAGTGAAGCTGGGGTTTCCAGAGGCAGGGGGTCAGAATCGAGGCTGGCACAACAGGCAGTTATGGCAATTGGACTATTTTCTCCTGTGCCATAGCGTGTATAGTCTGGGACTGCTACATAGCTGAACTTGGATTTTGAATATGATGAAAAGGATTTTTTTAAAACTTGATCATATGCAGTTGACCTGTCATTAGAAATCTCACTCTTCATTAACAAAGCACTTGCCCCTTTCACTCATTCTTGGAGGAGAATATTAGGGAAGATCCTTGAAGACATGGCTACAGCTTGCATTGTCTCTCCTTTGTTGCTAGTCCAGGGTCCCCGGGAACACAGGAAATGTGGAGCCCTCCAAGGTGTAAGCACCATTTGATAGCAGGTTACATGGTAGAACTCTGCTTAGCAATTTGCTTTGTTGGAAGTGAACAGTTACATCCATTATGCACCAATGCAAAGCGAACAGTTTGCAGATTGCTCACTTCTGTTCACTGGATGCAGTAATTCTCTGCTTGGTTTTCCTTTTGTGCAGACAGTGTATTGAAAGAAGCCCTGCGTTTGACAGCAGCCCCTTTTATCACCAGAGAAGTCCTTGAAGATGCATCTCTGAGATTGGCAGATGGCAGGGAGTACAGCCTGAGAAAGGGAGATAGGCTCTGCCTTTTTCCATATTTAAGCCCCCAGATGGATGCAGAGATCTATGAAGACCCTGAGGTAACTTTTTCTTTCTGAGTCTTAATTCTCATGACACCATTCTTTGCTCTTCCTCCTCACAGTGCATACTGCACTGGTTTATATAAAACTATTGAGTAGAAATGATACTGTGTTAACTATTCTTGAACCTAAATTTGGCTCCTTTCACACGCCAGTTAGAGCTGATGCCACTTCAAGCTTGGCCTGTTTATAATATGGTTAATGATGATGGCAGGGGACTGGACTTGACCCCACGCAGCTGGTCCCTTCTAGTCTGTTCCCATGAAAGGCTCCAGACACGTGTATGAATATTTATCCAAGAGGTGCACTCATGTCAGGAAAAGAGAGAACACTACCTTCATGTTAGACACTTAAAAATTAAAGAATTTTAAGAATTAAAACTAAATATTAAGTGAGAATTTCCAGCAACAATATAGATTGCTTAAATTAGGTGGACTCTTCAAACAACCATAAATTTGGAAACTTGGAATTTTTTTATATAACCAGAAGCAAACTATGAATCTTCAAATTTTCATGTGAGGTTTTGGCCGGACAAATCTAGAGCCTGGGTTACTGTGGAGAGAGCATAATAGATAGAAGTCCATAGAGCTAAATAGATAGAAATCCATGATCCACCAGTCAAATGGGAGAAATGCAGCATTGGCAGCAGTAGGCTGACTTTTTATATCCTGCAAATGTGACTCAGGGCTGACCTCCTAGGGACCACTAGTAGGCATGATGAAGCCTGGGGATTCACTCCCCATGAGCTGTTGAGGCAGTAGCCCCTCTGCTGTGGCTGCCAGCGAGCTGCATCTGCTGTAGTGGTTCCTGCGTCTTCTGTGCAGCTGGGCTCAGGTCACCGAGTGGCCACCAGATGCTAACAGCACATGGTTCCTCCCAGCTGGAATTAGCACCCGATCTTTGGAGCAGTGTGAAGGATTTTGTGGATTCTCTGTTAATAAACTCAGCTTTGATTTGTGAGAACATTTTATCCCATGTTCCTTTCCTCTGCTTCTCCCTTTTAAGTGATATTTTTCAAGGAACACTTTTCTAACGAGAGGTGCTTTTTCTCTTTTTGTCCTCCAGAATCAGTGTTTTGGGAAAAGCTGGGAAGGTATGCAAACTTGAGCTCTAAAAATGAAAATGTGGAAACAATGGTATGTGAGGAGGAACACTGGCTTGTTATGGGGACTGGAATTCCATTTTTCAGTTGCTATAACAACTTGATGTAGTGCTTAAATATAGAAACATCTGTTACCCCTGTAGTCCCCCCTGCTAATTTTGTAACAAAGAAACAAGCTGGCTTTGCTTCCTCTCCATGGAACCTGCCACGGGCCAAGATGCCAGAAATGATACCAGCCTTGAAATAATGTAAATTCTGATAAATACAGTTTATAATCCAGGAAACCCAGTAATAACTGGTTAAATTACTGTGCTCCAGTCAGAGATGGTGTATGCAGAGTCTAAATGTTAGTTTAACTCAGCAAAACCTGATGACAGGTTAGTTTTAAAAGAAAAAAATCCTCAAGCAAAAAGAGAGAGAATTGACTCATTTTTCACTCTAGTCACAACTCCTTTCTTGACGACAACAACAACTCAACACCTTTTGTCATAACTGGCTCTTTGACAAATTGTGCAGTTCCTAGTGCTATAGTTTTACAACTAGAAGAGATTCAGAGTTGGGGTAGGTAAGGGACAAATCTTGATATCTTGAGGTCATGCTTATTGAAGTCTGAGGTTAAGATTATTGCAGGCAAGAGTGTACCTAAGGCTATTATGCCAAGGAAGGAATCCATGAAAAATACCAGTGGAGTTGGTTTGCTGGTGGTTTGGTAGAACCACCTGCATCTACAGACAAATTAAATATACTGGCTGCACCAAACAAAGCCTGTCTCCTTTATAGACAGCAGAGGTACATTTGCTAGAGCAGGGGAGGGAAATTTGCTCTGTTGCTGTAATGCAGTTTTTGTTTTGTGGATAAGCTGAAGATTTCAGTCTGCAGAACTGTCAGTTTGAAGACGTCTCAGCACTATGCAAGGCAAGCTGTTAGTTGTGCATGGGTTTTTTTAATGTTTAGGCCCATTATTCAGTAGTTCCTTCTTTATTCTAAAATGAAACTGCTTTTCTTTTTATGAAGTGGGTGGTGCTGAAGAATGTTTCCCAGGTTGCACAGATTTGTTGTTGCTTTGTACTTGATCAGAGCTTACAAGTGCCTCCAGGAGGAAGAGATTGGCGATTGTGGATAGCTCCGAAAGCTGCAGTGAAAACCAGTGGTTCAAAGTTGAACTAGACAAATCCAGGTTAGAAATATAATAAATGAATGCCAGGCAAGTATTTAAAAGTGATAGTTTAGCTCAACCAGAGTGTAAATCCTCAGCTGGTGAATGCTGTCACAGTCCCATTGGAGCCAGTGTCAACAGGAGCCAGTGTTTATATCAGGTGAAGGTTTTCTGCATTGACTTGATGTAAGAAATTAGTGGGAGAGGATCCGTGCCCTGTGAATAGGCATTTATGTATAGAATAAATGATTAAACTGGTCTCTCCTGGCCTTAAACTCTATGAATGTATGGGTGCGTCTATGGCAATGTTGCTATGGAAGTACTATGGAAGTTATCTTTGGAAATACTAAAGCATGGTGCTCTACAGGTGGCTACCATGTGGTGCATGGGTAGATTTTGCTGCTACATCACTGTAGTGGTGCGCTATACTGGGGGGGAGCATGCCGCTATGGCGATGTAGCTGGGATCATGTCTAGACCCGTATGATTGCTATGTCACTGTAGTGCACCGTATGGTGATTTAGCGCGTCTCTGTCACCATAGGGCAATGTGTAGACACGTCTTACATGTGTGCTTGCTGGGGACCAATATTTTCTCATTAAGCTCCATGAACTTGACATCTGGCTATGGTGCTGATCTGTAGATACAAAGAAACCAAGACCAGCACTGCCCTGTAGACTGGATTCGCTATAGAAGCAAATCACTTTGATGTACAATTTCAGTCAAGTTTTTTTTGTGACACTTATTGTGCAGTAGCCTAATAACACTGCACAGTAGTGTATTAGCATGGTTTTTGACTAGCACACTACTGTGCAGTGTTATTAGGCTACTGTGCAGTAAGCAGCTTGTGTAGATACATCCTGTATGTATTTTAGCCATTGACCTAGAATAAGCAAAATAACCAGAAATCTGCATGGGAAGGGCTCTTTCACTTAAGTTTGTATTTTAATTGCTTTGGGTTCCTTAGTGCATGACATAAAGGATTCAACATGAGTCACCAAGATGAAAATACTCAGTATTCATAGTTGTCTGCAGGCAACCACCATTGGAGCATGACTTCAAATGCAAGAAGTGGGGAATGCCTGCTTGCTGTAGGAAACGGAGCCTCATATTCACTATTGAATGAGGTCACTAATGGCTGTCTATTTCTTTGCATGATTCATAATGTGTAACTCTCTTCTGGTGTATGGTGGACACTCTTGATTGTGTCTCTTTGATAGGCAACCACGTTCCTAGGGTTTTGGCTTCTCCTACATGCTGTCATGAAGTTTTGCTGTTTTTAGGGAAAAGAGCTCAAGTCCCTAGCAGCTCCATTTTATGTCCTGGCTGTGCTTAGTAGACTCTAACTAGGAAAACAGAGGCCTCCAGAGTCTTCATGGATGGACAGTCAGTGTTAGTTCCCTTCAACATTAATGGTCAAATCAGGTTATATTCAAAGATATACAGAGTCTAACTTATTAGGAGAGAAAACAAAGCAAACCATTTCTTACTGTGCTAATACAGCCTCTGAAAACTGTATCGCCGAAGGCAGAGAGCACATGCTTTGAGGTTAAAGATTCACAGTAGTAACCTTCCATACCAACACCCCTTCTCCTTTTTCCTTTGTTGTCTATAGCAGGCTTCCTTAAAATACGAGAGCCCCTTCAACCTCCTAAAGGACTCCCTAGATGAGAGAAATTCCTCTCTGTTCTTTCCCATGGCATATAACCATGTTGACCCATATTCTCCAATCCTTATTCAGGAAGTATGTCCATAGTGTACGCTTTGGGCTCCACCTCCCTTCAGAATATCTTCCTACATACACCTAAGGAGTCTGCAATGTTCTTTCTAAACTAGCAGTTCAGCTAATATCAGGAGAATACAAACATACAGCAAATAATCATTTCTGTTTCAAAAACAGCTACCTGCTCTAGCAACATGTCCAGTAACCAGTAGGTGGGGATTTGCTTTATTCTTTTTCAGAAATTCAAATATGACAGATTCCTCAATCCAGATGGCACAGAGAAAAATGACTTCTATAAAAGAGGGACTAGACTCAAACATTACAACTTGCCATGGGGAGCAGGAATTAATACATGTATTGGAAAGTTCCATGCAATTAATAGCATCAAACAGTAAGTAACATAGAATGCCTACAGTATGGTTTTTATCCTGGCCATTTGTAATTTTAATGATAATAAACTCCTAGAAGATTATAGAAAATTAAGGGGTTTTTTGTATTAAAACTCACCACATGCAATACTTACCCAGGGACTGTAGAATTTTGTTTGTGTTAATATGTTGAGACCATCCATAAAATTGGTGTCTACCCTTCAATAAATCAAAACTCTTTTAGAAATTAATTTTTAACTTAAGTAATATTTTTAACATCTAAGATGACAAATCTCCAGACTATGTAAATAGGTTATTTATGTCACATAGTGCCATATTGAAAGTGCTCCCAAGCTCATGACTGCTGTATAGTCATTGCTGCAATTTCATAGATCTACATTACACATACAAAATGCATGAAAAAAACTATTTAGGTTGCAAAGTCAGGCATCCAAAAATTAGGACATGCCAGAAATAAGATCATCTGTACAACTTTAATTCAGTCTCCTCGGGCTTTATGATGTAATCTTGAATCACAGGATTTCTATTTTTCTCTACTCTGATTCTCAGTAGCAGCTTGAACCATTTTTCCTGAAGTTTTCCAAAAACTTCAGCCTGAAACACATTTGACATGAACTATATCAGACTGCACAGTTAGAATTTGGCACTGGAGCAGACAGCCTAGAGAAGTTACAGGATTCCTTTCATTGGAGGCTTTGAAGTGTTAGATGAACAGTTTTTCTGGGATTATTTAGCCAGACATCATCCTGCCTTGAGAAGCAGTTTAGACTGTGACCTCTAGAACAGAAACCAAAGGATACTCTGATGCTAATCTGACCATTTTATCTTTTTTTTTTTAAAGGTTTGTTTTCCTCCTGTTATCCTGTTTTGACTTGGAACTGAAACATCCCGGTTCAGGGATCCCAGAGTTTGACAAGGAAAGATATGGCTTTGGAATATTACAGCCAGAAGGTGATATCATGGTTCGATACAAGTTGAAAGCTTCGTGAAAGAGCAATGGCTTCTCTTCCGTCATCCACTTGTTCTCATCTGTGTTGAACTGTATCTCTTGTCTTACCACTGAACCAGTTCTAAATCTCAGCTTTAGACTTGATTGGGGGGATAGTAGCAACTAGGACAAGGGTGAGCAAAATACAGCCTGTGGGCGATATCCAGCCAGCCAAATGATCCTATCTGGCCCACTGACTGCCACTGGGAGCCTGAGGAGGGAGGGCTGTGCCCAGCATCTCTTTGCCGCAGCTGGGGCCAAGCCAGACAGCGCAGCTTGCAGACTCCCCATGCAGGCCCAGCTGCTGGAGGCCGCAATGCCACAACTGCACAGCACCAACATGAAGCTGGGCTAGGGGAATGGATGCTGGGAGGTGGGGGAGTCTGCACACTGTGTGGCCCAGCCTGGCCTTGACTGCAGCAGAATGGAGCAGAGCAGGGTGTAGCCCTTCCTCCTAGGGGTCTCAGCAATGGCTGGTGGGCCAGATAGGATCAGTTGGCATCTTCCCACACCCCCAGCCCTCAACAGCTCACCAAAACTCATTAAGTGGCCTGCTAGCCAAAATAATTGCCCACCCCTGAACTAGGATGATGACATAAATTTTAGCACCTTCCATTTTGCTGCCTTTGTAGTTGTGAGGCTACAGCTTTAATGCCACATGACTGTAGCTAATAGAGCTACAACACTCCGCAAAGTATTTTTAGTAATTAAACACTAGATACTCTTAGTGAACTTTGCATCATGAAAGCACATTTTAAGGGAAAATCTAGCTGTCAGACTCTATAGTGTGTAACTCTCAATTAACTCTGCACATTCATTCAAATCCTTGGGTACTGGGTGACTAAATATAGGCAGCAGAAATATGAGCTCAAGTATACAGAGACCTAGGTTTTATTCCTGAGTAGCTGAGCCTTGGTGTCCATGCAGAGGGTTGGTATTCCTTGACAGCCACATAATGAGAGAGCACTTGAGGAAGATACTTTTGAGTGACTCAGCATCACTAAATGGAAGGTGCTTTAATTGATCAGCCGAGCTGCTGGAGGAAAAGAGCTATTCCAGATTCTAGTTTTATAGCCCAGATGATGGAGGGCCTGGAAGGTAGATAGGAGAAGAGTGGTGGGAGGGTATTGAAAGGTGTCATTACATTTAGCTCTCCAGTTCTGCAGTTGTTGTATGTAGCTAGGCCATCAGGCATACAATGAGAACAGACTTTAGGCTGGTGGATACTGAGGCTGCCAAGAGACTGTTGTTCCATGCTGCCTTTCTTCCACTTATGTTGGCAGCAGGGAGAAGCAAGAGGGATTTGGGAGAGGGCTAATATAGAAGTCTCTACACTGGCTCAGCACCAACAAAGGATTCCCCACTGGGGTGTGGGTGTTGGGTGTGCTCCCTTCTGTCACATTGGTGCAAAGCAGCTGACCCATACTGGAGAATTTGGCCATATTCTATTATCCATATTCCAGTAGAAGATACCTGGCTTAGAGTCCTTGTGATTTAAGCAACTAGAAGATTCAGGCTCAAATTACAGTCTTGAACATTTGGAGAATAATGATGGAATTCGTGGGATATTTTCTAAATAGAATTTGCTTAATTTGCACCTGTTCCTCTCCCAAAATATTTGTGTAAAAGAATAAAGAAGAAACCTTTCTTTGGGTCGGTTTTGAATTAAACTTGATTAACCTTTTTGTTTGTTAAATAAAAATACATGGACATTGTTTGACTGGTTTCAGAACGTTGTGCCGGTGATAAGATTTTTCAGCTCAGAAAACTCAGATATTCTTGATTTGTGTATTTTACCAGGAGGAAGAGAGATGTTTACACACCTCTCCAGGAAGGCACGCGATACACACAGCATGTTCAAGTGCAGGTAGTCTTTTAGTTAGACAAAGAAACTATGTTACAAGAATGTTAAAGTTGCAGTGCCTTGCACTCAAGGTTTGAAAATGCCAGAATGACAGTACCCTATGCTACTTTGATTCAGCTCATTTACACACATGCAATGCATTAGGATACAGTTTTATATTTACATGTTCACATATGATTTAAAACTAAATGTTCCCCTCAAGTTTTTGTGACTGAAGTTGAAACCAAACTTTTCATTACAAAATGCCACTCTTGTTTTTTATTGCTTTGAAACAAAAATAGCCTTAAAAATCTCACTTTTACAATAGAGGCTTATTTAAAACACTCTGCTTGTGTGTGTCTTGGGGCTATTAACCACTTCAGCTAAAATAACACATTATCATAGTTGGGATGCTTTTCTTTAGACTGATCTGTATTTGCAATATACAGTCCATCTCCCATATTTCATAACTAGTCTGGTAATAGCCCTATTAGCTACTATCCTTTGCCTCTCTATGGCAATTTCTTTAAATGCACATTTCTACTTACTTCTGATAACTGAAGAACTAAGCATTTAAGTTACAGCTGGGAAAGGCATTTTAATAGTTCTGTTAATTTTTCCAAAAAGTTATTAGTACACTTTAGATTTTTTTATAAGAAAGAGATCTGTGCTGAACCCTATATCCCAGGACAGGCACCCCTTGTAACCACAGACTGCTACAAGGGAGCTTCACTCCTAAAAAAGTGAAACAGGACCACAAAGTAAATGTAGAAAAGGGTACATTTGGGGTACCGGAGTACTCGGGTACCAGGTTATAAACCACTGGTTTAGGGCCTAACTACAGTACCTGAGATGTTCTTGGCTTTGTGTGAAGCCACAGCAGCTTCAGTCAGTTGTGCACCGTCAGCAATGGGACCAAGCGGATGCTGAATGTTGTCCTTTACATTTAAAGCAACATCAATGGAAGTGTTTGTAGAGGTTTCTGGACATGCTGGGTGGGTACAAGTCATGTTTGCAGCCTAGGAAGAATGACTGAAGATAGCCAGTTGCATTGGGAGGGAACAGATGATTAGGTATTCTTTACTATTGTACCAGAGAAACAGTATGCAATTACTGCATGCTGCCAGCTGCAATATGTCTATAGTGATGCGGGGCCGGACCATGGACCAACTCCCACCATGAGAGCTTTTGGCATATAAGTGAATATACTATATGGACAGTTTACAGGGAGAACTAAGAGTCTGAGCTGCTCCAGACCAGGTGGCAGCTCTTGCTGGATCCTTTATATGATCCTCATTATCCTAATGCCTAAGCACTGCCAAGATGATGAAATTATCTTGCAATACCCAAACAAAGTGCAGCAATGCCATTATCCCCATTTAACAAATGGGAACCTGAAAAGATTGAAGTCACAAAAAGATCACACACAAAAGTGATAGCAGAGTTAGGAACTGAACACAGTTCTAAGCCCTAAGCTATTGTCTGTAACTCTAAGACCCTCCTTTCTACCCATCCCAAAGGCCAGGGGTACCTGAGACCAGCATTTTTGGCTTTACTCACTCCCCTGGAATGGCTAGATCAGGACCCCTGCCCCATGCACCAGATCAGGCCCACCAAGTGGCCCACGGACTGACTGAGTGCTGTCCATCTGGTTTGTGTGGCAAAGGAGGGATATCACTGCTGTAGGCAAAGAGAATAATTTTTTTCATTGTTTTAATTAATGCTACTTCAAATTATTGGAATGTCCCACTGAAAGATATCACATTGTGAAAAACAGGTGAATCACAGGCATAAAAAGAAAGTGAGATATTTAAAAAAAAAAAAATGTATGGTCTTTGAAATCTACATCAATGGCTCAGTCCTGAGAGGTGTAGAGTGACTGGCCAAGTGCTTAGTAGTCACAACCCACCAATGCATTGAAGATCATGGGAGCTAAAAAAATTGCTCAGCAACTTGTAGCATCAGGCAATAAATAACTTCAGCTTATTAATTTTTGCCCCTTTAACTAGAAAGAGTTAAGATTCTGATTGTGTGTTCATCTCCGAGTATAAGCTTGTACTCTAAAATATAAGCTAACAGGTGAAAGAAGGTAGAATGAGCTTGCAGCATGACACAAGCTTTTTGAAGCTCTTTTGTATTTGGAAGAGAAGAGGGCAAGTCATAATGGGTGCGTGGGAAAGAACTGATCTTTGGCAAAAGGGTGCAACCACTTCTAATACCCCCAGCATTAACAAGCATTATACCATGCACTTTTCTTCAGGAACCCCACCTCCCCTATATAAGTCATAATTGGTTGGATTATAAATAAATGATAATGACCCATTGAAATCACCCATTGAAATAATACTTTTTATCACTCATTAAAATGATACTTCTGTTCCACCCCAATACTAAAGATGAGTACAGCTGTTAGGCCAGCCTAAATCTTGTTTCTAGGAACAAATTATGCTGAACAGGCCTTACCCTGCCTCTGAAAGGTTATTTTTGCAAACTGAGAGAGATTGTTCTTAAGGGTGCTTAGTGCAGAGCTGAGACACGCAGAGCTCCTCAGAGCAGATGTGATGTGACGATGAACAGATGCATTTCATTAACATTAGCTATAGATTTCCACACTCAAGTAAACCATCTTTTTTTAGTAGAAAAAACCCCAACCTAAATGATGGTAATTTGCAAGACGGGCAAGCTGCTGTGCATTAAATTAGTCAGAGCACTAAAATGGGAGAAGGTACCTCCCTTCCTCGTTATTAAGAGCTGGATTGTGATTTACATTTCATGGCTGTGCAGGAAAGTATTGGAGTATTGGTGGGGAGGGAGTGGAAAAGTGAAAGAAAGCAGTTATTAACCCTCTTCTGCACAGAGATAAATGGAAAGGGATAGAGGGAATTTGCTTTTCCCCTGACTCTCTCCATTTAGCACAACTGAGCTGGCAGGGAGAGGAAAGAAAACTGCTATTAGCACAGGTTAGCAGCAGCTGGGGGTGGGAAAAAGAACTATGCTATGTGTTGTGAAAGATTTTATTAGGGACTTCTATTGCTGTGATCCTTTATTAGCAAAGCATCTAAAAGATTGACTTATTCACTTTAAAAAGTCACACAAACCTACAGGGCCAGATGGCTAGCTTATGGCCAAACAACTTGCTTTATTGCAAATTCCATTAAGACGTGGCACAAAAACCTGGGCAAGTCTCCCACGGTGAAGGCCTCTAAAGTACTTGAGAGGACAATAGTAAATTGTACAAATGGATGCCCCTTACAGAAGGGTGTATCAGGAGCTGCTGGGTTTGTTAGAGACAATATTCTCAGTCTATTTGAGGGGAAATACATAAATTTAGGGCCTCCTAAATGTGACTTTTTCTTTATGACAACCTGCTTCATTGTCAATATTTAATGCGCAGGGAAGATAAGAAGCAGACAGATGCCACTTTCTTGAAAAAGTATCCATAATAGTAGCTCCTTATGGATTGTTCTTTGTTCAGTTGCTTTGCTTATGTTGCGGCAATTAGGATTGGAGTCCCATTGTGCCGGGGCACTGTACAAACATCAAGAGAATGGAGCTTTGTTCTGAAGAGTTTACAGCCGGAATGGGAATGGGAAAGAAAAAGAAGGGGAAAAAAAGCCGGTGAGCCAGGGAAAACAGCTGTGGCACAAGTACTCCCCCTGGTGATTGGGACTGAGTCCCAATTAACAACACCTGTGCCACGAATCCTCACTTCGTTATTGAACTCCATCGCTAGCCACCATGGACTGGCCTGGCCAGAGGTAACCAAGCCAAATTCTTTTTTTCTGATGGATAGCACTTTTCCTCCAAAAGTGGTCCTGGTGATATTGGTGAAGTGCAGTGGTAGAAACCCTAGATAAGACTCTTTGAATTTGGCCGATGTGGTTGCTTTTTTGGTGTTTTATTTTTGCCTTTTATCCCATATCATTTGATTTGTGGGCTGTATTCCCATTAACAAGCAGTTATTCCTAAGAGTAACTGGCCTGAAACTAATGGGATAACTGCTAACAGTGGAGGCTTGCCAATTTGTGTAAAGGGTCTTACCTTTTTTTAATTTATGTTTATTTAACACTTGCCTCACTAGTTAAAATGATTCTCTCTCTTTTCCCCCCCCCCCCTAAAAAGAGGGGAAGGAAGGCAAAAATGTATATATGTTTTCAAAAAAGGAAATATACTTTTGAATTCTGACTGTGATTTATTTACCATGTCAGAATGCATGCTGTATGATGTTGGTAGGCTCCATACCACCGGAAGGGAAAAAAACAGTAATACTTTTGTTGAACAATGTCATGTGTCTTTGAGCTGCTTTACATCGGGTAACAAATCCTAATGAGCCAAAGCTTCATAGATTACCTCAAATCTCAGAGAAAGTGGAGCACAGAGGGGAAGTTACCTGACCAAGGCCGCATGGGAAGTTGTGGTGGAGCTAAGACTAAATGTAGGGAGACCTTTGCTCCTTGTTTCAAGCACAAAACACTTTCTAATGCTGCTGCCTTCCTCTGCAGTACATCTGAGCTTTCATTCATGTGGCCAGAATGCATCTGAGCTTTGATGAAGATCCCTCTGAATTTAAAGCTGGTATATGAAAATAGAATACTGCAGGTATTGTGCTGACTGCTTAGGGCTTGATGCAAAGATCAGGTACTCAATGGGAGCTTTTGCAATGTCTTCAGGCGGGTTTGGATCAGGTTCTTATATTGTCTAACAGAAGTAGTGGACTGATGCATTTAGCAGAGGAATTTGCACTACAATTGCTCCTGCTCAAAAAGACAAGATTTGCTGAAATGCTTGACTCCACATCACCTATATTACTTCCAACAGGAAAAATGATTTCACAACATATTTTATGGTTGGAAATATAAGGTGTGGACAGGCGAAACCCTTACACCCAAATACACCGTGGATGACTTGTATTGAATCATATGCATCCCGTTAATTGTTTTGTTTGTCTGTCTCCTTTTAGTCCATGGTAAGTGAAGCCAAACTACAGTAACTTACTTACCCTCTTTCATGCAGGGGCAAGCTTACTGTGGTTGAGCTTCATTTACTGCAAATTAGATTTAAAAATTGCACTGAATCATCTGATGTGCTCTTGAGCAGTAAGTCCCCTTCCTCTTAAAAATGGTGAAAGTGTATACCTATCCTATCAATGCCATGAGAAACAGTGTTAAATCTGTATCTCATTTCATACAGTCACCTGCATTGGAATTCAACCATCCAAACTGATTAAAGATAATTGAGCCTGGTTCAGAAGGGAACATAGGGCCCTAAAATTGGGATTTCAGAATCACTTCAATTACTATATTGAAAGCCTTGCTCAATCACTGTCTGACCTTGGATGTGCCTATCTCCACAGGCATCTCGCTTTCTTGACTTCATGGTTCCCTGGACATCTAGAACAGCATCTCTGTGCATGCCTAGAACTGTCCAGCTGGGCACTGAACTCATGCTTAAATATGACTGGGTAAAGAAACTAGCCGTTCCCCCATCTAAATCCCTCCCAGGATCTCAGTCTAGTAGGCATTCTCACAACTTGTCCAGGTTCAGTTCCCATTGGGTGGGGATAGTCTCCCTCCCATTTGTAGACTGCTTTTCTTCAGAAGGTGCAGCTTGATTCCTGGGCCAGAGTGTGATTAGGGAAATAACCTAAGGATGGAGGTCCTGTGTTCCAGCCCTTTTTTTTTTCAAGGGCTGCTTCTGAACATTGCCAACTGATAGTTTAATGTAAAATGCACAAGCCACATTGGGAATAGGGACAGAAACTGCAGACTCCCCTTTCCCAGGTGAGTACTTTAGTCACCAAGCTAGAAAACCATGGTCCTTTTTGTACCTGCTTTTCTCAGAGCTAGAGAGTCCTGAACACCTTTTACTTCAGTGGCACGGTTTCAACAGGAGTTAGAGAATGCCTTCCCCTTGCACATACTTAAAATAACATGGATCCTAGTGGTTAGGGCTTTCTCTTAAGAGGAGGGGAATGTCAATTTGAGTCTGCTCAGACTGAACAGGGAATCCAATCTGGATCTCATTTCCTGAGCCCTTAGGCTATTATATAAAACAGGGCTGCCTGTACCAGCCCTTGGCTGTGCTTCACAAGACTAGCATGAGCTGTGACTACTTCTTTGAGATGTCATGGGTGCCTACTTTCACAAAAGCATTCCAAGCTGTGGATCTAGTGGTTGGAGGTACTTACCTGCAGTCCTGAAGGAACCACTTACGCCCAGACACTGGTGAGGTTTAAGTCACCCCTGTCCTCAGCACTTCCTGTCGGCCGGCTCTCGGTGGCAGCGCCTAGAGCATGCTGGCTGTCTCAAAACCCATTCACTTGCCTAGCTGTTCTCAGCAGAAGGCCAAGTGCCAAACTCAAAGAGTTTTGAAGTCTGTTCTGGGGGCACCCTGGAACTGGGCACTGGAACAACTTCTGCAAAGTTCTGAGCATCCTCAATTCCCCCTAAAGGAGTGTGATCTGTATCTTGCATGAGTGGATCTCAGGCAGACTATGGCAATGTTTTCATTTCAAAAGACTATATCCAATTTACAATCCAGTTCTTCTGGATTGTCAGTGACATGTATGCAGATGAACAAGAACTCTGCCATCAGCCAACTCCTCCATGTCGCAAAAGAGAGCATTAGCATTCATGGGGAATGTTGTTGTCCCATGTGAAGTGGCTTAAACCCTGACAACCTTGAAGGATATTTTTTGTGGGGTTTTCTTTAAGTCTTCAACCTGACAGCTACAGGCATTTTGGGTGGAAAAAGAAAGACATTGAAAGTAAACAGAATTAGATGGGCTTCTTTAAAATAATCTTCTTAAGCCTAAGGAGGCTAGACAGCCACCTAGCCGGGGTCATTTGACCCCAGCATCCCTTCCTGCCCATGGCAGGGGGTTGGACTTGATGATCTGCTTGGGTCCCTTCCGACCCTACCAACTACGAATTAAAATGGCTTTAATAAAATATACACAATTGGTGAAGGAACGTTATGTGAGTTCAATCAAGAAAGTAGCACACTCGCCCCTAGGGAAGAAGGGAATCTTTACTCAGTGGGCTCCTGGGAAACGTTGAAAGAGGGGTGGTGACTGGCTGTAAAGACAATCCCCATCAAGTTCCTGACAGGTGAGAGGTGACAGTCGCATTGAGAAAGAGATTATCAACCGTCTGGTAAAGGAAGTGTGTAACTGGCTCCTGCCAGCAACCATCTGTGTTCCTCTTGCCACAGTCAGCCTGTCGCAAATCAAAATGCTCTTTTCCCATCCAGGAGTTAAATACAGCTCCTTCAGCATGCCTAGCCTCTCCTGGCTTGGGAGCTCCTGTCTGGTAATGCATTTTACTTGCCAGCTTTTTTACTGTGGGGTCACTGTTTCAAAATAACAATGCCATTAAAGAGCCTTCTTGCATGCACACAATCCTGGGTTTGCCTAGCCAATGAAATCAGTGATGTGTGACAACTTGGTTTATTGTGAGCCGCCTCTGCTCCAGTATCCCAATGAGCACTTGAACCTAGGAGATAAGACTTACTCTGTGGCTGCAATGTTCAGTCCATGGCCACAAGTGCTAGCAACAATGGAATAATTCAATACAAGCGGCTTCAGCAGATTACTCTTTTCACTAAACTTTATAATCCCTTAATCTCTCTCAGCCCAACAATGGACACATCAAACAATTTATACATGATCTGCCTTTTGGCCTGGTTCTTGGTATATAGCTGGCATGTTCCCATACCAGGGGATCATCTCTTTGTCTTCTGTTTCTGTGTACAGAAAATTGGGGACTTGGTCCATGAATAGGGTTCATAGGTACCACCACAGGACAAAGTAATAATAAAAAAGAATTGCAAAGGGTGTCCAGTACAGTCAACTGTGATAGCAAACACGGGATGTGTTCAAGTCATCGGCTATGAAGGCTCACTACAGCCCAGAACTTGATCTGGGAGCAATGAACCGGCCTTGGCCTTCCTACTGCAGTTTGCAGGAAATTGGATCCAAAACCCAAATGGGATTTAAAGGTACCAAAAGTCCCTGGCCTCCCTCCTGCATTATTCCTACTATGCCAGAGAGAGCCAGTCAGTTCTGGGTCACCACCAGCTCTTAGGATCTTGTGTTTATTCTCTAGTACAGTGAGTCTGCCACTGACCAAAACATGCTCCATAGAGAGAATTGGACCCCTTTTGCTCCCAACCCCTAGGCAGCAGATGTTTGGAGTTCCATGGTCTCAAAGGCCATGGAGCTGGATGTCCCAATGGTCTGCCTTAATCTATTCCTGGCCTTCCTACAGCATTTCAAAATGAGTCTCCTTATGACATGGGGATTCTGGAGGTTTTTCTGCAGCTCAGCCTCAGAACAGCTGTACAGAGGGGATGGCAACAGATCCAATTCATGGCTCCCAGAAGATCTTCAATCTGCAAAATGGGTGCTGGAGTTGTTTGCTGTCTGTCTTCTGTTGGACAATGTTAGAGCAAAGATTTCTTATTGCTTTGGAGAGCATGGCTTGGCATGAGGGTAACTAATTACTGACACATGCCTTTTGCAGGGTTGCTACTGTGCTTTCCCTGCATCCAGTTAATATAGGCACATATGGACATGCCCCTGGATAGCATTCCTTCAGGACTTACAGCTAATTTCATTAAATATTTACTTAAAATTACTTTTTTTTCATTTATTACTTTGCAGTGGTTGACTTAAAACATTCCAAACTGCAAACCAGCTGTAACTTTTGTTATTGCTAAACTACATTAAAGGCAGGGAAAATTAACAGGGCTGTTTATT